GCACTGCAGTTTGCAATAAAACTGAACTGTCTCCCTCTCTCTCAAACACACACTCGCACAAAAGGAAACTAACAAAGAATAATCTACAATTTAGAATCTATAAAACTACGGGCGCGAGGAGGCGAGCTGAAAAGCGAGTGGCTTTGAATAGCCCTCTGAATGAATCAGAAACGCAATAGTAATTTGGCTGTGAAGAGAGGTCAAATCCAAAAAAAAGTGACACACATATCGCCCACAGCTCCAGACTGGACAGGAGTGGTCTGGAAATAAATCCTTCAAAATACCGGACAAACGTGAGATGTGTCGCTTTAATACAAATATTATAATTACTGATTGAGCGATGTCTTTAAATTATTATTCTGTAAAGAGTCGTATCAGCTTTCATTTTACCATTTACTTCCCTTAAAGGCATGACAGTGAATAATAGTGTTTTGGGGGAAACAAATACATGTCTATTTAAATATTACGGTACATTCAGATCATACTCTTGCACGCAGCACTTGAACTGAAATTTACATTCAGCACAATCGGTAAAGATTATAAAACACGGATGGGAAAAATAATTTGCTACTCACTGGTAAGTTACATCCATTTGCGTGGCAGAGTCGGTTAAAATGAAAGAAAAAGTACAAAAACATTCAATCCCCGAGTCGCAGAGATGAAACATGTGGGATTGATTACATCCTATGCTGCTGCAGACTGTGGTGTGCAGTCAGTTGAGGTATGGGAGAGACGCATCGTAGAAGTTCAGGCTTGTAGTGAATCGAGGCTCGTTCATGCAGCCGGAGATTCAGACACGCCGGGAGGAGGAGGAGGAGGAGGGGGAGGGGGGAGGATGGAGGGGTGTGCGTGTGAGCGGGGAGGGGTGAACGCGCAAGCCTATTGGTTTGAGAACGACAATGTGAAAGCGTGCCCGTGAGGCGCCCCACCACCCGCGCCCCCCGCCCCACCCTACCCTTTCCTACACTCGCCTTCCCCTGCCCTCCCCCCTCCCCCCCTTCGACGGTAAACACACGCTCCTATTGGCTGCCTGCTCCGAGCCAATGAGGAAGCCGCCGGAGCCGCGGAGCAAAACGGCGGGCGTTTGATTTGCAGCCCTCGGCGCACTGCGTGCACAAGCAAATGCGATGAGACAGGCGGCACCGCTCGGCGCTGTTCAGTGTGCGGAGAGGAGCCGGAGCCGGAGCCGCGCAGCGCTGCCTGCACTTTCTGATCACTGGTGGAGAGCAAACAGCATCTAGCCTATTCTGTGTGATCCCACTGCAGTTCAGTTCAAATGCGGCATGTGCTCCGAGTGTGTATATCGTTGTTTTTTTCGCTATGTGACAGCGATGATGTGATAGTTTTATTGACGCTCCTTGAGGGAAATGCGCTTTTTCATTCGCCCCACCGCGTGCGTTTTGCTAAATAAATCCTCATTTGCAGAATCTGTCTCTGATTTATTGAACGTGTTGGCTCGCAAAGCAAGACATGTCGCACAACCACAAGATAAGAGAAGTTTAGGACCCTTTAACAGGCGTAAAGTTAAGTGTAAGTTTGATATAGAAAATGTGTCCACTCGGATACTGGGAGGATTGTTTTCAAATGTAAGTCTCTGCTTCATCCTTAAATCTTAGCTCTGCAGTGCAGGTTATACTCTGACAATGAACGTGCATTTCTTTTGTGTAAGCTCACTTTATCCATCAATATGTCATATATTTAAAGACACATGTGATTTAGTAGAAAACAGCAAAGGGCACGTGAACGCAGATAGGCTGTTGTAGAAAAAGGGGGACTAAAGATGCTTTATTTTCATTTATTTTATGTCTGTATGTCTGTTTACCTTTCTCTGTCACAAACGCGCACAGAGAGGCAAATTGAATCACTGCGTAATTTGAACGCATTACTGTCCCCGGGGTTAGCCTTGCGCACGGTTCACTAATTTAGCCAATTAAAAGTGGAAGGATATGGGCTTGTGTGTTTCCATGTCGAAATATATGAGCTGCTATAGGCTAATATTCTCGTCCAGGTCTGTTT